AATAAATTGTTATAAGTGAATATAAATTAATTAATACGGTAAAATTAATTATGACCCACAGTTATAACATAAAAATTAGTGAAAAAAAGTACCGTATAATTAAATAAAATTATACAACCTCAAAAAACCGTTCTGCTTACTGTAAACACATTCGGTAGTCTGGCGCTCCGTTTGTAACGGGATTTTTGAACGGACCTTGGCGCCAAATTCTACCGAATTTGTGGATATATGGCTGCCGAAATCGCAGAAAAAGTCACCGAAATGACAATCGAAAAAAATTAACTGTATCGAAACGGAATTATTTTAACACGCAATTTTCACATGGGTTTTGATAAACTTCCTCAGGAATAAAATAAAAAAAAAATTAAATCGTGAAAGTGATTTTTGACAAAGTTGTGGTGTTATCAAGCCCATAGCTCCCGTGAATACCACGCTCTTATTCATTTAATTCATCAGAAAAACGAGTTTTTTTCTGAGAAATCTTATTTAATCGACAAGAAAATTTTTTTAACGTGTTCTATAGTTACTATTATTCATTTCAATATGCTTTTTATCCATAATTTTTTTCGTTTAAATTATGAAAATCACGTTTTAATCGAAATCACAATTAATGACCGCTAATTTTATACTGGTTAGTTCTCCTACGTGTAAATTATTTGTCAAGGTCAATTAGTTAGTTTTGTCGCTGGATACTTAGATTGAAAGATGAATTTAATTGATTATCTATTAATTTATTGGTAGAAAATTTAGTAGTAATTTATCATAGGCTTTCATAACATCATTAAAGTTAGTTAAGAATTTGCAAGACAAAAATCTGAATAATAAATGAAACTGTGCAACTACGTTAGTGAAGGTCATTCTAGAGAGTTCTATGGTTGAGAATTTTGTTGAGACGCTTAGGATTATAACAGTTGATATTTAAAATTTTTTTAGGAAATTAAATTTATGCCGGTGGGATAAATTTAATTAAAGTAGTTAATTTAGCGAATGAATTTATTGAGGAATTTATTGAATTCAGAAGATGAGTAATGAGCTTTGTTAAGAAAATTATTTAGTGGATTTTGTAAAGACTATTTAGTGAAGGCATTTATTCGATAACTCTAGTGAATTTCTTTAGTTAAGTAAGATGAAAGTGAATTTGGTTAAGAAGATGTATTAATGAATTTAATGAATTAAAATTGAAGGTCAGAATTTTGTATTAAATAATTGTAAAGTGTAATTCTGGTAAATTTGGAGAATGCGAAGTTTTGAGATTCAGTTTTATTGGTAATTTAGATATATGAATAATTAGAGAATTTTTTGGGGAATTAAGTTAACGTCCGGTGGACGAGTTTATATGAAATTTAACACGTAAGGTTGTATGGTAATCCGTCAGGTTGACGAGGTAAATTATGGTATTATATGGTATTCCGTCAGGTAGACGAGGTTGTTTTATGTGAAATTAGTTCTGTTAGTTGAAATAAACTTTTGTTAATTATTATCAGGTTGGCGTAGTTAATTATGAGTTCATTTAGTATATATATGCGTAATGGTCTATGATTAAATAAGGAGCTTAGATGCGTAATGGTCTATGATTAAAAGAGTTCGATGATATTTAGTTTGTAAGACTTTGGGCGAGTGCCTGCGTAGGTGAGAGGTTCTCACATTAAGTTAGTTTTAAGAAAGATATTGTTAATAAAATTTGTTGATTTTAATTGTTTACATTGAATAAATAATTTAATTGTTATTATTATTAATTGTTTCTCAGCATTGATTTACAGTCTTCTCTCAGACTTCTCACGACCCGATCTTTCCCTTCTCATGCTACCCCAGTTTCTGGGACACCGTGTATAAAATCCCAGTGGCGCCCTTTTCAAAAGAGGAAAGGGGTGACCAATTGGACCGGGCTAACCACCCGCGTTACACTTTCGTTCACGATATCTCTCGAATGAATCAACCGATTTTGACCGGATTAGCGGTGGTTGACGTGGTTCTTTAAGCTTAAAAGCAAATTAGTTTTTGGAGTTAATCAATAAAGCCGTTTAAAAGTTATTCCAAGAAAACCACTTTCAAAAAAAATTTTT